AACCTATTTACCTGAAAAAAATATTTTAATAAAAAGATTTTTTAAAGTTTGACCGCGATCGGGTCAATGAAAGCCTTCTTTCCTTATTATATGTCTGAGAAATTCAAGTTTTTTTCTTTTTGATTCTGAATATAAATATTATTTTTGTTAATATTTTTAAGACTTCCTCGTTGATTATTCACTCCATACAAGGAATTCTCAGTAGTCAGTCATCTTTATTGAAACTTGCATAAAAGAAGGATTGGTGCCCAAATACAATATATATATATATATATATATATATATATATATATAATAGAATAGAATTTGTAGGTCTGATGAATCGGATTGTGATTACGATTCCAACGTAATAAATTATAACCATGGAATATTAGTGTTTGAGCATTTATATATATATATATATATATATATATATATATATATATATATATATATATTCACGATTCAATCATGAGACCTACAAATTCAAAATAAATCGAAATTAAATTTGTAGATTTGATGAGTTGGATCGTGATTACGATTCCAATGTAATAAATTATAACCATGGAAGATTGAGCCTTTTATATTATATTCTTACTCTGTTCTGGACATTGAGCTCTAACTGGATTCTGTCCTCTTGGGAATTTATATATATATATATATATATATATATATATATATATATAAATTAACTGATCTAAAACATGGTTTTTTCGTTACACTGTAGAGAAAAACCATATTTTAAATCAGTTAATTTATAATATTTATGCTCTGTAAATTTACATTGAGCATTATGTATAAATGTACGTTTTATTTCTATCTTCTCTAAAACTTCGTTGTTCCTCACATGTTTATTTCTTTATGATTCTGGCCAAATTGTTGTAGAATCTAATTCCTTTTGCTTCAAGTTCATTTTCATCTGTCTGGCAATTTCCCAGCATTCAATGCCATATAGGAGGAGTGATATTATGTAACATTTCAGTACCCATATTGGTCTATCGTTCTTGCAAAAAAAATGAAGTGTCAAAAAGACGGCTTTTCCATTGACACCGCTATTTTTTTAAACGTTCCATCCCAAGCGAGGCAGGAAGCCACTAGCACGCAATGGGTTACAGAGAGTTGGAGCGAGAGCAAATAGGAGTGATAGACGAAAGGATGAAGATAACGTTAGGGGATAGATCAGGGCTTCTGGAGACGTCGATTGACATTACATTTGCATAGTTGGAGATTATAGCTATCAGGAAAACAAGAAATGGGGAGGGAGTTCCACAGGCGAGAAGTGCTAGATATGAAGCTACTGGAGTAGAAGAGACGGCTACATTTAATAGTTTCGTCAGTGAAAGGGTGAGAGCGAGATGCCAGTCTAGTTGAACGCTTAAATTCATGAAGTCTGGGAACCAGCGAAAACAGCTCATCGGAGCAGTTACCATGAAAGTATTTCTAAAAAAGACAGAGGAAGGCAACGGCACGTCTGTGAGAGAGCTGTAGCAGACGAGATGTCATATCAGGGACAAATACATTGCATATCCGTCTTTGGATTTTATCAAGGACCTTGAGACAAACAGAAGGGGCTCCAGACCATATATGGCAGCAATACTCCATGCAAGGGCGAATGGTTGATTTGTAGATTTGAAGGATTGACTCAGGCGAGAAAAATTTCCTAGCATGGCATAGGGAGCCAACTTTTCTAGCGGTGGATGAAGCTATTGACTGAATGTATTCGTTCCATCTCAGGTCAGCAAACAATGTGAGACTGAGCAGCTGCAGAGAGGTGCTCTCGAGAAGTTGAGCGTCAGACATTCTAATGGAGGGCAGAGAAGGATCTCTTTGATGAGTAATAGAGAGCAGTTTTGTCTTTGAGGCATTAAAGTTAACAGCCAATTCCTGCCCCAGTCTACAACCGATTGGAGGTCCTTTTCGAGACGAACGGCCAGGTTAGTTTTGTCGGCGACATTTTGTATTTTAACTTTGGTTACTCCTCAGTAATGTTTATCGTTTAAAAAAAAAAAACGATGATTAGAATTGTAATCAAACGTAAACATATGAAAGTCAAATTATACATTTTCTTTGTTCTTGACAATTGACAATAAAAATAATAAACGCTATTTATTTATTAGATTATTTATTGCAATGCTTGGCAAAGCTTCAACTAACTGTCAGTTGATTCAAACTTTATAAAATGGTAAATAAGAAGAAAAATACTTTTAAGATGTGCTATATTTATGGGATAAAGTGCTCAATATCAGAGATAAAACGTGTGTAAATATAAAAGTAAACATTGAAGTCAATACTTCAGAGGCGACAGGCTGTTTCATGCTAGACGCAATCGTCAGACCAATTTGGTAAATAATAAAGTTTTCTAATAGTTGATTCAAATATTTTAATAATTTAGTAAATATTTATAAATTAATGAATAAAAATAGCTTCATATTTATTTGTTTATAAATTGGTAACTAATATAGATTGATTTGTCGTAGATTTAATGCTCTTACTATCGTGTAAATATAAAATTATTCTTGTATATAAACGATTTAATAAATGAATAGTGATTAATATTTAGTTATTGTTGTAAGTAATTCCAGCAACCTGCTCCCACTGTTTGGTGTAATGGACAGACTCCAGAAATGCTTATAAATAAGCTAGCTTAATTCTTTTCTTTTTTGTAACTGTATTAAGTTGAATAAAGCTTTCCTAAGTTTATTCGCTTCGGGTTATTCATTATAGTTCTCAAAAGCAAAAAAAAAAAAACAAAAAAAAAACGTATAAATTCACTTTCATCATATGTTTGTTTGTTTTTTTTTTTACATTACTAATCATAGCTTTTCAAATCTATAAACATTGCCAAGGGATGAAGGTAGTAATAATAGCGGTGTCACGGGAAAAACAGTTCTTTTGAAATTACGTTCCTTTGCGACCAAGACGTTCCATGTTTTCGTTCTTTTCTTTGTTCATAACGAAAAAGACCTCACCCATAAATAGCTCGGAGGGTTTGGGATAAACAATATAAAATATTATTTTTTTAATTCAATTTGCTATTTTCCCCCTATGAAACCTTTTGGTCCTGTTCGAATAATAAATTTCACCGTAAATCAAAATGTAATTCTTAACAAGTCATGTAGTTATTTCTTTCTAGTAAAAGGAAATCTGTATGTGACGGCGGGCGTTATATATGTCTGTAACACTTGTAGATTACTATTTGATACGTCTTGTTTTTCACGTGAACAGTGGAAAAAATCTAAGTAAAATATCTTAATAGAGCGGTCTCATAGGAAAAAGTGTCCTTTTTTAAATTACGTTTCTTTGCTGGCAAGAAGGTCCTGGATTTCCTACTTTCCTTTGTTCATAACGAAAAAAATATTTTCCATTCGTACATATAACCCCTCCCCACCAATAGGACGGAGGGTTTAGAAAAAAAAAAAAAATTTCATTCAAGTTTTCGTTTTACTTTTTTGTTAAAGGAAATCAGCATGTGACGGTGTGCCTTAATACAAGTCCGTACCACTTGTAGGTCACTATTTCCTACGTCCCGTTTTTTTATGTGAAAAGTAGAGAAAATCGAAGTGAAATACCTTAATATTGCCGGAAATAGTATTTGCTACAAATGAGTATTTACATACAGTTAGTTTTACAGCTTTATACATCCTGGGTAAGACGTTAAACTACATCCGAGTCCTGGGTACACGATAAACTACGTCCAGCAGCAAGGCCTCTGAGCAGAAGGTTTTAATTGCTGGTGTTCCCAGGTCCATACTGACACGTGGTGGTAGCACCTGTAAGGGTCCCAACTATGGGCAAATAGTTAACTATTACCAGCAATACGTTTTTGAAAAAAAAAATATTACCAGCAATGCAATTTTGAGGGGAAAATATTATCAGGAACAGATTTTTGACAAAACAAAATATTACCAGCAATAAAACAATTTGTTGGCATTAAATAACCCATTGAGGTTGATATGTCGTTAAACAAAATAAACCAAACCAATCTAAACCAAATAATACATATTCTATTCATACGAATCTATCCTAAAAATGTTGTCGGCATTAAATAACCCATTCATGTTGATATGCCGTTAAACAAAATAAACCAAACCATTTTAAACCAAAGAATACATATTCTATTCATACGAATCTAACCTAAAAAGTTTGTCGGCATTAAATAACCCATTGAGGTTGATATGCCGTAAAACAAAATAAACCAAACCAATCTAAACCAAAGAATACATATTCTATTCATACTAATATATCCTAAAAATATTGTCGGCATTAAATAACTCATTGAGGTTGATATACCGTAAAACAAAATAAACCAAACCAATCTAAACCAAAGAATACATATTCTATTCATATGAATCTATCCTAAAAATGTCGGCATTAAATATCCCATTGAGGTTGATATGCCGTAAAACAAAATAAACCAAACCAAACCAATCTAAACCAAACAATACATATTTTATTCATACGAATCTATCCTAAAAATGTTGTCGGCATTAAATAACCCATTGAGGTTGATATGCCGTAAAACAAAATAAACCAAACCAAACCAATCTAAACCAAACAATACATATTTTATTCATACGAATCTATCCTAAAAATGTTGTCGGCATTAAATAACCCATTGAGGTTGATATGTCGTAAAACAAAACAAACCAAACCAATCTAAACCAAAGAATACATATTCTATTCATATGAATCTATTCTAAAAAAATTGTCGGCATTGAATAACCAATTGAGGTTGATATGCCGTAAAACAAACCAAACCAAACAGTTTTATAAAGAACAAGTGAGTATATTTGTGTCTCAAAATCAGTTCTTCGTCTGCATTTTGTACACTGGAGAGAATAAAATCAACGACCAAGCGCGTCTCATAGAAATTCGTCTTTATTGAGGCAGCACAAAATATGTCACGATCGGTCGGTAATTGGAGGAAGAACGTTTCCGATCGATTCAATGATATCCTCTGTAAAACACGCGTTTCGGACTGTCGAATCAACTCACTAGAATCGATCAGATTTGGATTGGATATGTATCGATCGTTCCGTGGCTATTCATGTAACGACGGATCCGCTCCTGAAATCACAAGACGAACGTTAGTGATGTGCGGATAGAAATTGAGGTCTTCAGTGGAATTCTTCTACTTTGAAACATTCTTTGACATCACAAAGCATTTGCGACAAAGACTCTCGGAATGTCTTTCCACGTTTATCTAAGTTTCATTTTGAATATCTATCTATCTATCTATCTATCTATTGAAATCTTCTAATATCTATCTATCTATCTATCTATCTATCTATCTATCTATCTATCTATCTATCTTAATCTGATCATAGTTATCTCAATCCGCTTCTGTCTGTCTGTCTATATATCTATCGCTTTCTTAATCTGCTTCTTTGTTTCTATCTCCATCTACGCATATCTATCTATCTATCTGTCTATCTATCTATCTATCTATCTATCTATCTATCTATCTATCTATCACAATCTGCTCATATCTATCTATCTATCTATCTATCTATCTATCTCATTCTCTTCATACTTACCTATTTACCTATCTCAATATGTTCATATCTACCGTGTTGTTCGATACAAGTGACTCACCTGATTTTTTTACTAAAAATATTTTTTGTCTATTGGTTTTGGGGTTAAAATAACTTTGAATCTTACTAATATAAAGACCCCTTCCCGACCACCTAAGAAAAAAGTTTATTCACCCTAAGGTATTCTATTGATAATTATAAATTTGGATATAAAAGAGATTCAGAAAAAAATCTGTGTAAAAATGTGACTCAGATATCGCATTCTAATAATTAAACTGGTAAATTTAAAGAGCTTTTGAAAAATATCGAAAACAATTTTACAATACACTCAGAACAATATTCTAGAGAATTCTAGAACAGCTTAAATTAAATTCTAGAAAGTCTCATACAGTATAAAAACAGCTTGAAATAGCCACTCAGAACTACTTAAGGCATCTATCATTGCCCTCTCAAAAGCAGGCAAGTCTACAAGAGAAATTACAGAAATTGCTATAACCTCGCAATCAACTGTCTTTCGAGTGCTTAGGGCGCATAATGATGCCACTCCTGCTCCAAGGAAGGAAACAAGGGGACGAAAGAAAAAGATTGATGATAGAACTGACAGGGTAATCAAGAGAGAAGTTGCAAAGAATAGGACTATAACTACCCAAGAAATTGCAGTCAGTCTAAGCGAAGAGCAAGGTGTTAATCTTGCCTTTTCAACAGTCCGTCGGTGGCTGTTAGAACAAGGCTGCAAATCTTGTACACGAAGGTTTAAGCCGCTAATAAGCAAAGCCAACAAAGCCAAGAGACTTGAAAGGGCCACTATTACAAAATTTCACCGTAGAAGACTGAAAGAATGTTCTCTTCTCCGATGAAACGAAAGTTGATCTAAATTCAAAGGATAAGCGATCTAAAATCCGAAGAAGCTTTGAAAGCTCTTTGAATTTAGCAATAAATACTGTCAAGCATCCGTTCAGTATAATGTTCTGGGGATGCTTTTCTTTTCATGGAACTGGTTTCTTAAAACTTATTGAGAAGATCCTCAGCAAATACTCAGAGCAGTACAAGAGAATGTTAGAGTCTTGCCTGCTCCCTTCTGCTGAAAGGGTGAAAATCCACCCCACCAAGCTCATTTTTATGCAGGATAATGCTCCCTGTCACAAATCAAAATTGATGAAGGAATACTTTGATGAGAAGCAGGTGAGTGTTATGACATGGCCGTCCCAATCTCTTGATCTCAACCCCATAGAAAACATAAAGTACAGGCTCTTGAGAAAGCAGTTGAACAACAAAGAGGATTTGATTGTGAACTTCATATTCGAATGGAATTCAATGCTTGGAGATGACACTTGTCAGAACCTAATCAAGTCAATGCCAAAAATAAAAAATAAAAGAAGACCCATAGATAATTAAATATTTCGAACTATATTACCTATTATAATTAAATTATACCTTTATTATTCTTTATTTAAAGCTGTTCGGTTATGTTTCTATTGATTACTAGTTGCAGGAAAAAAGTGAGTCTCTTTTTTTGCACAGAGTTTTTCCCTGAATCTCATTTATATCCAAATTTATAATTATCAATAGAATACCTTAGGGTGAATAAACTTTTTTCCTAGGTGGTCGGGAAGGGGTCTTTATATTAGTAAGATTAAAATTAGTTTGACCCAAAAACAATAGGGGAAAAATTTTAAGTAAAAATAATCAGGTAAGTCACTTTTATCGAACAGCACTGTAGCTATTTATCTATAGATCTTTCTTTCTTCCTTTTCATATCTTTCAAAATCAACAATGACTTCTGTTCCTCCGCACACGCCCTGTCTGTAAAATAATAGTAAATTCTTGTATAGGACATTCCCCTTTTTTATCCTTATAAGGCACCAAGTCTGCTCGGTAGATCAATATTATTATTCTAATATTATTGACAACAATAATAAAATAATAATAAAAAAAAAAAACTCTTAACACACAATTTTAAAACAGTACCGTGAAAACGCGAATTTCATTACGTTTTGCAACTGAAGACTGCATATTTGGATGAAACTTCGAGTGCTGCTATCGGCATGGGATATTTTATATTTACTTATATATATATATATATATATATATATATGAGCAAATATATTATATTATATATATAAGTAAATATTATATATATATATATATATATATATATATATATATATATATATATATATATATATATTTCTTTTTTTATTGCACATTTTCTAGTGTTTTTTAATTTAAGTTAAATCTCCCGTGGAAGCCTGAAGAGCAGGAGCGAAACCGGTTACTTCGTTTTTAATATGTCTAGTAATATTAAGCTTTACACTTTAATTCTGTGATTAAATTTTGTACCTACAAAAATATCTTTATATATATATATATATATATATATATATATATATGTTTGAATAAAAGACAGACCACGTTAAGATTCCATGTAATAAGCTATTTCACCATAACCCCTTTAACAGGGTTCTGGATCATCAGACTTTACTTCCAAAAGCTGAAATGAAAAATGAAAAAGAAATCACACGTTTTTTACGGACCTCATCAAGTATACGCAAAGTTAACGAAGTGAGGAAGTGAGGTGGGAGAGAGGATATGAGTGTGTCATATGTATCATTTTAGTTTCCTATTTTAACCCCAGTGTGTCGGCTGGATATTGCTCACATCTAACGAGTCTCGTCTCTAGATAAAGGTGGTTAAGGGGTGAGCGATAAGGACTACATTAAGGAAGACGCGTTACAACAGCCCAAATAAATTACACGACAGGTTTCATTCAAATTCCTAGACGCTGTCAGTTCGCGTTACTTTAACGTGCATATTTGGGAGGTTAAGGTTTGATAAATATCTAAAATTTTAAAACAATCTACAAAGAAATTAATTTGAAATTCGGTGGAGTTTTGGGTATTTCCTATGAAGCAGTCGATTGGAAAGATCCATAGACAGAACATTGAAAGAGTAATCCAATTTATATTTAGTACTTTTTCCACTAAAGCTTTTATCTTATAGCTTGTTAGGTTGACATTTATTCTTTTGATTTTTGTTCATTAAGTAAATTTGTGATTGTTTTTGATTTTTGTTCATTAAGTAAACTCGTGGTTGTTTTTATGTATCCAATTATCAACAGTTGTTCCCATTTAAATAATTTTATTTTCCCCATTGGGGTAGTATCTTTCAATCTCTATTAAAATACTAGTCTAACACTTTCCCTTCGTGCTATTTAAAATTCACTTCCAATTGGAGAATATTAGAGGAGAAATTTGGAAGAGATGTCACTAGCAGAAAATTAGGCCCTTCTTTTATATTTTCTTATCTACACATGTCTTAAACCCCTATTTGTAACCACATACCTATATTGTCTTATATGCCTATGCGTTCCTATATACACCTACACACACATTCACACGAAACGATATATGTATATTTCCATCTTTACACATATACACCTGCAGAGAGAACGCACATCCACATGTCTCCATACCTGTCTCCATGTATACTTATACTTACATATATATATATATACACACAAGGACATCTGCATATCCATATATACTCATACGCACATATATATATCTACACATCCATACGCATACACATATATATATATACATACACACACCCATATATGCATACGTACAACATACATATACATACACACACATATGCATATGCAATCTGCAGAAAATCTATATACCCACATATGCGTTAATTTGCACTTACATATATATCTTCCTACGTATTTGTCCCTATTCTCATGTCCACCTGTGCATCCACTTATACCTGCGTTCGAAGACTATCTCAGTATTTAATTACATTATCTATGTCTTTACACATATAATATTACCCGATCTTTCATATTTATGGCAAAACATATAAGTACCCTAACTAATTGTACATCTCCACACTCACAAAAAAAAAAATTTAAAAAACGGTATGTTTTTTTTCCGTATAAAAACATATACATGTACATATCAACAGGTGTCTCAGTGTGCAAATACATTATCATAGTTGTATACATACAGTCATGTGTTAGCGTCCACGTGTGCATAGTAATATTTCTAAAAACAAAAGGGAATATAAAACATTCAAAATTGCTGTTCCTATATGATTATTTCTTAGTGTACTTGCTTAGGTTTAGGTTGTTTTTGTGTCGGCATTTAAAAACTAGTTCATTGTGTTTATTTAGTAGTATGTCTGGATCTTTATGTTTGATTAAGAAGATTTTCTCCTTCAAACATAAGTTGCATCTGTCTCTGAAGTTTTTGGGAGTTCTGGCTCTTGATATTATTCTCCACTTTATTTGTGGTGTTAGGCCACTCTCAATAAAAAACCAATAATGATTTGATAGTGCTGTTTGTTTTTTTTTTACATTTATTTTTGAAGGATTGGCGATGGTTGTTAGTTCGGTGTTTCCAATCTCCCGCTGATATTCCTATGTATATCTTTTTCTCTTCAACCTTTTCTTTGGGGAAAATTGTTGGTTCATATATTGTGTTCTCTGCCATGCATATTCCTTCAACTGGGCACTCTGATCCTGTCCTGCAGTTGCATGTTGATTTTTCCATTCGTGTTGTATCCTGATTTTGTCTTAGATTATCCTGAAGGTCTTTTAAAATTTTACTGTTGTGAGAGCTAATAATTCTTTCCATATTGTTCATGCAAGAATAGCTAATCTTTAGATTCATCTTGTTGAATATTTTTTTCAGAGATGCATTTTTGCTAAAGTGTTTTTCTATCAGTTTTATGAAGTATTTACCTATGCTAATATTGGAGAGGTTACAAAAAGGTGGGTTGAACCATATAAATTTCATTTTTCTATTTTTGGGTTTAGTGGATTTTTTACTTACTGACTTATCTATGTAATTTAGTATTTGCTTAAAATTGCTTTTTAACAGGGCTTTATTGTATTCCCATTTATTCTGGTTAAAAATTGTTTTACTGGAGGAAAGTTTATTTGTTCTAGCATTTACTGTATTTGGGATTTGTTTAGTTATTGATTTCGGATGATTGGAGTGAATATTTATATATATGGGTGATTGATTTTCCTTTTGGAAGGGTTATAAGTATTATTGTTCAGATTAAATGTAACGTCTAGGAAGTTTACTATTTTTAAGTTGGAAGAAATCTCGATTCTAAATCCTAGAAATTTGAAGGCCCTAATTATTTTCTTTTGTAGTTGGGATGTTAACGGACCATTAGTATTAGGTACAGCAACTAACCCATCATCTCTGTATAGTCCTATATTTTGAGGGTCAAGGAATCTACTTAGGATATCTAAAATGTATATACCTATTAGGTCTGCTATTTGAGCTGAATCAAAAGATCCCATTGGGACATCAAAATTGTCTCTATCTTTTTTAATCCAAGTAGTGTTGTTCAGTTGTAGTATGGACTGTCTAGAGTCCATTATGATTTTTATTTCTTCGTCAGTAATGTCAATGTGGATTCTGGCAAAACTTAAGCTATTTTCTAATAATTTTTTAGAGACTGAGGGGTAGAAATCGATGATATCAAGCTGTATAAAAGTAGTAGTATTTTTATTCTTTGGAACCAGTTAATGGTGTCTGATGAATCTTTCCAAAGGTTTAACGGGTATTTTTTAATTATAGATGTGTTTATTCTTTTTAGGATATTTTTAGAAATTATTCCTAACTCTGATTTGGAGGGATTTATTAGTCTGGACTGTAGATCATTTTGAAAGTTAGGTTTATGGTCTTTAAAAAAATTTCTTCCAAATTTCCCCTCTAATATTCTCCAATTGGAAGTGAATTTTAAATAGCACGAAGGGAAAGTGTTAGAGTAGTATTTTAATTGAGATTGAAAGATACTACCCCAATGGGGAAAATAAAATTATTTAAATGGGAACAACTGTTGATAATTGGATACATAAAAACAACCACGAGTTTACTTAATGAACAAAAATCAAAAACAATCACGAATTTACTTAATGAACAAAAATCAAACGAATAAATGTCAACCTAACAAGCTATAAGATAAAAGCTTTAGTGGAAAAAGTACTAAATATAAATTGGATTACTCTTTCAATGATCTGTCTATGGATCTTTCCAATCGACTGCTTCATAGGAAATACCCAAAACTCCACCGAATTTCAAATTAATTTCTTCGTAGATTGTTTTAAAATTTTAGATATTTATCAAACCTTAACCTCCCAAATATGCACGTTAAAGTAACGCAAACTGACAGCGTCTAGGAATTTGAATGAAACCTGTCGTGTAATTTATTGGGGCTGTTGTAACGCGTCTTCCTTAATGTAGTCCTTATCGCTCACCCCTTAGCCACCTTTATCTAGAGACGAGACGCGTTAGATTTGAGCAACATCCAGCCGACACACTGGGGTTAAAATAGAAAACTAAAATGATACATATGACACACTCATATCCTCTCTCCCACCTCACTTCCTCACTTCGTTAACTTTGCGTATACTTGATGAGGTCCGTAAAAAACGTGTGAATTTCTTTTCATTTTCCATTTCAGCTTTTTGGAAGTAAAAGTCTGATGATCCAGAACCCTGTTAAAGGGGTTATGGTGAAATAACTTATTACATGGAATCTTAACGTGGTCTGTCTTTTATTCAAACATATCTGCTCTGAATTTTACATTGAGCTCTCTGGATATCATCCCCCTCAGGTCTACCCATACGGATTACCTAAATTTGCATAAACTATATATATATATATATATATATATATATATATATATATATATATAACGAGAGTGATATAAAAAATATATATTGCTCTAATATATATTACTCCATTATTCCAAAATGCCCCCTTCTCTCCCTCTCTCCACCTATCTATCTATCTATCTATCTATCTATCTATCTATCTATCTATCTTTTGAAATTTATTAATGTTTCAGTCACTTCAAATATCTCTATCTGATTAAGTTCATTATCTATCTCTATCTATCTATCTATCTATCTATCTATCTATCTATACAATGGTGGGAAAAATATTCGTAAACTTACAAATT